AAGGTGAGAGGCGCCCGGAAGGACGATGGATGGAGTTGACACTTGGTCCACAGGGGAGGAGGCTGGACGGATGCCTGAGCCTTGTGAGAGGGGCTGGAGAGAAGATAGTGGGGAGGCAGAGAAGGGGTACAGGATAGAACGCGCAGAGCCCTGGAGTCGCCGCGAAGGGCACGGGAACTGCACAAGTTTTGGCAGGGCAGCCGCAGGCGCCCGGGAGGAGAAGAGCTGGCGGAGGGGAGGGAGAGGCCGGCGAAAGTGGGAGCCGACCCAGGTGAGGGTGAGCAGGGGGCCTGGGAGGATGGTGGGCGAGGGCAGAACCTGCATAGAGGAGCGGGAGCAGGAGACTGGGCTGGCGGAGAAAAAACTGGGGAGGAGGGGACTGACAAGAGGATGGAGGAAGGGAGCAAGGGGTTGGGGCAAATCCAAACGTCCCCGTAGCGTCGTGGGGGTTGGTCCCAGACTCCGGCTCAAGCTAAGCTGTGTGTTGTTTGTTATTGTTATTTCGACTCCTCCCAAGGCCCCAGGCAGGAGCGGCCATGGGTGGAGGCGAGGTGCGGGAGAACGGCCGCCGGGGCCTCTGGCTCCTCTCCACATCCCAGTCTTACCACCCGTCTACCCCCGCGCCTCTCCTGGGCCCGGGCTCCTTGGCCACCAACCAACCCATTACCTTGCCCGACCCCCGGGCGTCTGGGACTCCTGACTGGCTTCTCCCCAGCAGCCAAGCTGGTCTTGGGTTTTGCTTCTGCCCTTTGAAGTCTTCATAGACCTAATTAGTCTGGGTGTAATTGGCAGAATTAGGCAAATTGTTTCTCTCTCCCTCTCTCCACCATATCCGCCTGCTCCAGACATCAGCACTAGACAGTGAAGTGGAGGGGTCGGGATCCCAGTGTTTGGAGGGGAGCATCCAGCGCCCTCTCCTGGCTCCCATAGTGCTCTATGGATCTGCTGGGCCTTTGGGACACATTCAAGTCTAGCTGCCTCCCTGGCCAGGGTCCAGAGACACAAAGCAAAGGGCCCAATAAACGCCACTGGGTTTTTATTGCAAGAGGGGAAGCAGCTTTATTGTAAGGCTTTTATATACCAACTCTTAGCCCGAGGGCTCTGGGTGTGTGTTCGGTCTGTGTGATGGACGGCAGAAGGGACAGATGGTTTTCTGGGATGCACTGGGAACGATGGATAAGGATGGGGCCACTGAAAGAGACAGAATGGGACTGAGGAGGCAGCAGAGGAAGGCAAGGGCTCTGGGGACAAGAAACAGTCATGGACAAGCCTGGGAACAGAGAATTGAGAACCTTTGGGGAGTGGAAAGGGGGAGGACAGTGGAGATGGAGTTAGGAGGATGAGGGAAAAGTGATGGGGTGAGAGGAAGAAGGGATCATGAAAGGTGAAGGAGGAGAATGAGAGGAAAAGGAGCACAGGGGGTAAGGAGGTGAGATCACTCTGAAAGGTGAGGAGGGACACTCAGACAGAGCTCACCTGAGGAGGGGGGAGATAGGGAGGGATGCCCCAGGGAATGAAGCCCAGAGCTCACATCCATGTTTGTTTCTGCCCATCCTAGGATATGAGGAAGACATGGAGACGGTGAGTTCCACTTTTCTGTTCCTTCCTTTTCACACGAGCTGCCATAGCCATCACGTTCTCACTGGGCCCACACTTTTGTTGCCATTAATAGGCAGGTTTTCTGGGGTACAGCCTCATCCCTTCTCCCTCCAGAGATGTGAATGGGGTATGCGTGGGGGCATTAGCAGCAGAGGGCTGATTTCCTGACCCTTCCCCTCATCTGTCTAGATATGAAGTCCCAACACCTAAGTCATCTAAATCAGAGGATGATCTCCCTGAAGATTATCCAGTGGTCAAAAACATGCTTCATAGACTGACAGGTAAGGAAAGAAGAAGGGAGGGAAGGGAATTGAATGACAGTCTGTGTTAGATTTTCTTCCTTTTAGCCCTAAAAAGTGATCAGGTCCTTTTTGATGTCTGCATTAGTTTCCTAGTACTGCTGTAATGAAGCACCACAAAGTAGGTGGCTTAAACAACAGACATCTATCTCAAAGTTCAGGAGGTAGAAGTCTGAAATGAAAGTGTCAGCAGTGTTGGTTCCTTCTGAGGGCCATGAGACAGAATCTGTTCCATTCCTGTCTCCTAGCCTCTGGTAGCCTCACATGTTCTTTGGGTGATAGGTCTGCACATTTTCTTTTGTATGCATTTGTCTCTGTGTCCAAATTTCCTCTTTTTATAAGTCAGCAATCTGGATTACAGCCCACCCTAATGACCTTCATTTTAACTTGACTACCTCTGTAAAGATCCTGTTTCAAAGTAAGGTCATATTCTTTGAAAGGAGGTTTGGAGGACTTCAACCTATCTTTGTGTGTGTGTGGAGTGGGGGAGGGCACAGTTCAGCCTATAACAATGTCTATCCTCGATTCCTCATATTCCAGCCATTTTCCCTCTTCCTTTTTCATACATTCAAACAACAGATCCCTGAAGGTTAGGTGCCTCTCAGAAATCTCTGCTTCCACCACCTCTCATCACTCCTCTCTGGAAGGGGACCCCAGCATCTCCTTGACCCTTCTTTCCTCACTCATTCCCAAGAAGAAGGGTGCCTCTACCCTTCTTTAAACTGCCTAGAGAAGATGGTCCACCCTCCTGGTCATCCACCATCTTGCCCAGTCCAGATTGTTTCCGGCACCCCTAATCCAGAAATCTGTCTTCAAAGCACCTCATACATATAAGACCAATGGTTCTTTCTTTCTGGTCTCTGGCTATCACCACCTGCTCTCCTCCTCTGCCCCACACCCTCTACAGAAATAGGCCTGTCCACCCACCCCCATTCCTGTGGGTGGGTGGGCTGGTTTCTCAGGATACCTTGGATTCCT